CAGAATCCTGATATTACCTGATTTAAGTAGAAAATATATGCATATTTGAAAAATGCATATATAGAAAGGTGCATTTCTCAAATTATCAAAAAATGCAGTGGAAGCACATGTTAAAAATCCACCCAAGCTTGAATAGTCCCAAAGTGGTGACCAAAGTGGTGACTATAGACCCATGAAGATAACAATGGACAGAAGGAAACAGGGACTGGACATGGCAGTGGGAAAAGATATGTTTGAAGATAGCTGGTTGGTGCTCACACTATGTGTGGCCACAGGAATGCTATGACAAATACAATTCTGAGACAAAAGACTCTCCCAGTGGTGTCAGTGGGAAAGATTTATTGCACCTTTCTTGCTTTATTTATTTATTTATTTAACATTCTTTTACTTAACTTCCCTATTTCCATTAGCATGGTATTTGTCATTGGCTCAACTGTATCCATAACATGTGCGGGAAATGTATCCAAATAATAATAATAATAATAACAATAACAACCATAATAATAGCTTTATTTATATCCTGCTCCCTCTCCCCACAGGGACTTAGAGCAGTTCACAACTATATAAAATCACAAAAATACATAATTATATGTTATGTTACCTTACCTTCCTTGCTTACAACAATCTCAAACATGGCTAAAAGTACAGACTATAGATTTCAGATCTCATGGGTTTGTCAGTCAGAAACATGGAGACTCTTCTCGTCTTCAAATTTCTCTCAACTTCACCTGCACTGTAACCACTTTGAGCACAACAAGCGACTATAAAATACTTCTGGGACAAGCATCAAGTCCAAAGAATGCATATGTAAGTCTCAATTATAACACTTACACTTGTTTTTATTGCTGCTCGGCACTTTTAATTAAAACCTACATTGGTACAACAAAGAAACTCGACAACACAAACGCATATACCTAATCACAAATCTTCTCCCTTTGTCAAGAATACATTCAGAACTACCAATATTTGCATGAGTGGCCTTTGAGACACTGCCTTTGAGCCTTTGAGCAGATAAGTAAGAATAGTGACCCTTCGGTGGCTCAGTTTCTCCTTTGGATAGTGGATCCTCATGAGAAAAGGAAGCTGCTGTCAATGAGTACCTATATCAGGCATGGGCAAACTTGGGCCCTCCCGGTGTTTTGGACTTCAACTCCTACAGTTCCTAGCAGCCGGTAGGTGCATTGGGAATGAGTCCCTGCTAGTCTCCGACAGTATTGCCTTTGTTAAAGTGTTGCACTTTTTGTGCCACTGCACATTTTCTCACATGTATGACCCCAATCAGAACTGAGGATCTGAAAATCCAATACATATCCCGCTCCAGAACAAATGAAGCACAGTCACCAGAAATAACTGCTTTAGAGAAATCCAGCATGCAAACAAAACAGGTTCATCTGCAAACATACCTCTAATGTTCAATATACTAAAGGCAACTGGATCTGATCACATTTACTCCCAAGTAAGCCTGCGCCAGAATTTCAAGAACTGACCCTTCCCAATCGGTCTTTAAAGGGTGGAGATTTGGTTTGGTAATTTGGGGTGCTGATTCAGAAAATTGCATTGGATAGACCACATCAGCTCAAGTTTCTATATGCCCTCCAGTAGTCACCATCTGCTCGCCGACAGAAACCCATATTTAATAATCTAGAGCTGATATGGTAGTAGTAATCTTTCGTGGGTAGTCAGCCTCTCCCGACATCCCCGACATCCCTGTTGCCTCCACACTATAAGAGGGTTTTGTGAGACCAGTCGCTCTCATTGCTGCATAGTTTTGAGGCAATGGTGTAGTAATAGTGAGGATGCAGATCATACTTTCATTCTTGTGCACCACTAGTGGTCCACGGACCACAGGTTGGGAACCACTGCTATAGACTCTCACTTCAGTGTTTGTTCAGGATAGCTGCTCTCATGCTTTGACTCTGAATTCAATTAGCACTCTGTGACATTTCCGCAGAGCATAGAAAAATCATTTAAGGGGATTATGCAAACTGAAGGTTTGGGAGGTGTAGGCACCCAAAGGAACTTTTTCATGCTGAGTTCCCATTCCAACTCATCTATCCAGCTTTTCTGTCGAAGCACAATGTTATTTGCTTCCAAGGCATCATGTTTAGCACACAGGGCGATTCGTGTATGGTTCAACAGGCAATTCGGAACCCAGGGTGACTCTACACTTCAGAAGTAATGTAGCTTGACACCACTTCAAGTGCCATTGCTATGGAATCCTGGGATTTGGAGTCTGATGTCTTTGGCGGAGAAGCTTAAAAGACCATGTAAAAGTACAACTCATATGATTCCACAGCACTGAGCCAAGGCAGTTAAAGCCGTGCCAAACTGCATTCATTCTACAGCAGGCATGGGCAAACTTCGGCCCTCCAGGTGTTTTGGACTTCAACTCCCACAATTCCTAACAGCCTACCGGCTGTTAGGAATTGTGGGAGTTGAAGTCAAAAACACCTGGAGGGCTAAAGTTTGCCCATGCCTGTTCTACAGGGTAGATGCAGTTGCAGGTCCAACTCTGAGCAAACCGCAGCCTATATGTCAAGTCATACTTTGAATGCAAGCAAGCGACACAGAGAAGCAAACAAATCTGGACTGGATTCTGATCTACCCCAACTCCTTTCTGAAAAAGAAGCAAAGCTCATGATCCTCCTTGAAGAGGGAGATTTTGAGACAAACAACTCAGGAGGCAAGCAGCGCAAGCCAAAGAGTGCCTCCGCAATGTTAGGCATCCCTTGAACTGTCAGGGCTCAGTGTAGTTTTATAAGGCCTTGGGCCACAGAGTGCCGGTGCCTTGCCAAAGTAATAATAATAATAATAATAATAATAATAATAATAATAATAATAATCTTTATTTATATTCCACTCTATCTCCCCAAAGGAACTCAGGGCAGATTCCAAATATAAAAGGCCAACATTCAATGCCCAAAATGTGTGTGTGTGTGAATGTGTATGTGTCAGGGGCAACTTGAGAAATGGCAAATTGCTTCTGGTGTGAGAGAAATGGCCATCTGCAAGGACATTGCCCAGCAAACACCCGGATGTTTGATATTTTACCATCCTTGTGGGAAGCTTTTCTCATGTCCCCACATAGGGAGCTGGAGCTAACAGAGGGTGCTCAACCCGCTGTCCCCGGATTCCAACCGCTGACCTGTCAAACTTCAGTCCTACTGGCACAAGAATTTAATCCACTGTGCCATGGGGGCTCCAAAGAAAGTACAGCTGCCAGGATACCATAGCACTGAGCCATGGCTGTTGAAGTGGCATCCAACTGTATTCAAACATTCTTGACCCTTGCTCCAAGCGCACCTAAAATAGTTGGTACACTATCATCATTATCGTAGGCAATCACTCATGACCCCAGTGGCGCAGTGGGTTAAACCTTCCTAATGCCGCAACCCCTTAATACAGGTCCCCATGTTGTGGTGACCCATAACCATAAAATTATTTTCATTGCTACTTCATAACTGTAATTTTGCTACTGTTATGAATCGTAATGTAAATATCCATAATGCAGGATGTATTTTCATTCACTGGACAACATTTGGTACAAATACCCGATACGTCCAAATTTGAATACTGGTGGGGTAGGGGGTGGGATTGAATTTGTCATCTGGGAGTTGTAGTTGCTGGGATTTATAGTTAACCTACAATCAAAGAGCATTCTGAACTCCACCACCAATGGAATTGAACCAAACTTGGCACACAGAACTCCCATGACCAACAGAAAATACTAGAAGGGTTTGGTGGGCATTGACCTTGACTTTTGGAGTTGTAGTTCACTTGCATCCAGAGAGCACTGCCAACTCAAACAATGATAGATCTGGACCAGGCATGTGGGGGGGGGGGGGGCTTGGGGACTTCAGCCCCTCCCCCGAAATTCTCATGGTTGTCCGCGAGAAGGCCTTACTGGTACATTATTTAAACTGTTATGTTTATTCATATCATGATCTGATCACATACTCAATATATCCCATATGCATGGGGGTAGTGGGGTAACGATACAAAAGGTTTGCTAGGGTAGACCCTCTTTCACTCAGACTCAGCCCCCCCCCCCGAATCAAACTCAGCTCCCCCCGAAACAAAATCCTGGCTACGGGCCTGATCCTGTGAATTCTCAATATCCCCAAATGTAAATATTGGTAGAGTTGGGGGAAAATAGACATTGACATTTGGGAGTTGTAGTTGCTGGGATTTATAATTCACCTACAATCAAAGGCCATTCTGAACCCCACTAAACGGTAGACTTCCCACACAGAACCCCATGACCAACAGAAAATATTGTGTTTTATGATGGTCTTTGGTGACCCTCTCTGACACGCCCTCATGACCCCCCACCCCCAGGAATCCAGACCCCAAGGTTGAGAAACGCTGGGTTAAACCTTTGTGTCGGCAGGATTGCTGACCGAAAGGTTGGCGGTTCGAATCTGGGAGTGGGGTGAGCTCCCGCCTGTCAGCTCCAGCGTCCCATGCGGGAACATGAGAGAAGCCTCCCACAGGATGGCAAAACATCAAAAATCCGGGCATCCCCTGGGCAACGGCTTTGCAGACGGCCACGTCTCTCACAACAGAAGCGACTTGTAGTTTCTCAAAAAAAAAAAAACCTCTCCGTGGCCAAGAATAATTGTCCTCAGGGGTAGAGTCTTATGGGACGGTGGGCCCGTTGAATGACTGCGAAGACCTTAGTTTGGATCTACATGGCCTTTCCCAAGGATGGGTTGGCAGAAGGGAGGCATTGGCGCTGCCCGTCCTTCCCACACTCCGAGCGCCCTCCCGGCAGCATCTCTGAGGTCTGGGCAGGATGGCGAGCCCGCTGTCGATGGCCCAACATGAGAGGATCCTCCTTCCCCTGTGAGTGCGGCTCCCAACCCTGCCGGGACACTGGGAGGAGAGGCCTGCGGGACCCCTTTCGTGGGGCGGCCCAAGTCCTCGCGCCCCGCCAGGGAAACCCACGAAGCGCACGCGGGTTCGGGCGAGCGTCCCGACGGTTCGCCCGGGCGTCTTACCTGCCAGCAGGAGCCAAGAGGCCAGCAGTCCGGCCAGCGCGGACCAGGAGCTCCCCCAGCCCCACATGCCGCCAGGGGAAAGGGCTAGAAGGGCACGCGAGGAGGCTGGAGAAAGAGGGAAGAGTGGAGGAGCCTGGAGACGGAGAGCTTTTGCTCGCCTTCGCCTCCCTTCGCCGTCCGAGGTCCTGGCAGTATCCAAAAAGGCGTCCGGCGGCCCAGGCTCGGCCCCTTTATAACCTCCCCAGCCCACATCCTCCGCTCCCTTCACGCCTCTCTCTCTCTCTCTCTCTCTCTCTCTCTCTTTCAGACAGACGTCACTCGCCTGCTTGCTTTCTCCCCCCCCCCCCCTTTCCCATCCCACGCGAAAACTTCTCCAGCCCCTACTTTGGTGGCAGGAAAGAGAGGGGCAAAGACCAAATCACCCGCTTTTCTCCCTACGTTCCCCTCCCCAACCCAGGTTGACACTTTCCTCCCTTCTAAAGACAGTTTCCCAAGGGGGAATCGCATACTTTGAATGCGATTTTCCTGCGGGTTGGACTGGATGGCCCACGACGTCTTTTCCAACACTTCTAGGATTTTATTAACGGGACGGCTTGCGGCTCTGGTTTTGCCCCGAGGAAAAAGGTTCTTTCATCTCCGATTTGGAAGGATATTGTGCGCTCTGCCTGACTTTGAGAGGAGATGGAGCCTTGCCTTTCCACAAGGCTGCCTAGCTTTTGGACGGCCAAACTGGGAAAGCTTACCAACAGAGCCAGGTTGTTGTCAATACGGAGGTCTTCTTCCTCCCCTTATCCCCCGGAGGCCATCTGGATTCAGAGGGACACAACGTGATCCTTGCCTCCCAGGTGCATTTTGGGGTTTGGAGCTGTTTCGGATCCAACACAGTAACCGGTTTCTCGAATTGGATAAAGAAGTATATCTGAAGTCAAGGGACATCCTAGGAAGCATCTATATCAGGCCTGGGCCAACTTGGGCCTTCCAGGTGCTTTGAACTTCAACCCCCAACTTTCCTAACAGCCTCGGGCCCTTTCCCTTTCCCCCTCAGCCGCTTAAGATCAGACCTGGGCCAACTTGGACCCTCTCGATGCCTTGGACTTCAACTCCCACCATTCCTGACAGTCTTAGACCCTTTCCTTTTCCCCCTCAGCCACTTAAGATCAGACCTGGGCCAACTTGGGCCCTCTAGATGCTTTGGACTTCAACTCCCACCATTCCTAACAGTCTTAGACCCTTTCCTTTTCCCCCTCAGCCACTTAAGATCAGGCCTGGGCCAACTTGGGCCTTCTAGATGCTTTGGACTTCAACTCCCATCATTCCTAACAGCCTCAGACCTTTTCCTTTTCCGCCTCAGCCGCTTAAGATCAGGCCTGGGCCAACTTGGGCCTTCCAGGTGCTTTGGACGTCAACTCCCATCATTCCTAACAGCCTCAGGCCCCTTCCTTTTCCCCCTCAACCACTTAAGATCAGGCCTGAGCCAACTTGGGTGTTCTAGGTGGACTTCAACTCCCACCATTCCTAATAGCCTCAGGCCCTTTCCTCCCCCCCCCCTCCTCCGCTGCTTAAGATCAGGCCTGAGCCAACTTGGGCCCTCTAGGTGCTTTGGACTTCAACTCCCACTATTCCTAACAGCCTCAGGCCCTCCCCCTCCCCCTCAGCTGCTTAAGATCAGGCCTGGGCCGGCCCTCTAGGTGCTTTGAACTTCAACTCCCAACTTTCCTAATAGCCTCGGTCCCTTTCCTTTTCCCCCTCAGTCACTTAAAATCAGGCCTGGGCCAGCTTGGGCCCTCCAGGTGCTTTGGACTTCAACTCCCACCATTCCTAACAGCCGCAGGCACCTTCCTTTTCCCACTCATCCACTTAAGATCAGGCCTGGGCCAACTTGGGCCCTCTAGATGCTTTGGACTTCAATTCCCACCATTCCTAACAGCCTCAGGCCCTTCCACCCCCCTTCAGCTGCTTAAGATCAGGCCTGAGCCAACTTGGGCCCTCTAGGTGCTTTGGACTTCAACTCCCACCAATCCTAACAGCCTTGGGCCCCTTCCTTTTCCCCCTCAACCACTTAAGATCAGGCCTGAGCCAACTTGGGCACTCTAGGTGGACCTCAACCCCCAACTTTCCTAACAGCCTCGGGCCCTTTCCTTTCCCCCCTCAGTTGCTTAAAATCAGGCCTGGGCCAGCTTGGGCCCTCCAGATGCTTTGGACTTCAACTCCCRCCATTCCTAACACCTTCCTTTCCCCCCTCAACTGCTTAATRTGGAAGTCTTATGTAGAAGCACCTATGTAATGTAGAAGCACCTATGTAGAAGGTCCAAGTTGGCTCAGGCCTGACCTACATTGTTCAATTTGCTTTATCTCCCAAGAGCTCAAAGTTCCTCAAATCCCAAAGTTGTGAGTCCCTCCAGGCAAGTGAGTGACCTTGCCTGTCCTGTCTTTGCAGCCAGGAGAGTCACGACTCGCTGGGACCTCCCACTGATGAGACCCATTTGGAGAGCGGGCTGTGTGGCACGACAGCTAGCTCCGCATGCTGAGATGGCAACAAGCGATCAGCATCTGACGCCCTGGGGATGGGCTAAGTGACCACCTCTCTGCCATTTCCTACAACCAGGAGAGATAAGACAAGTTATCACAAGCCTTATCTATCACTCCACATGATTCTACCCCCTCCCCTCAAATTGTAACTCAGGGTTAATGCAGTTTGACACCACTTTGACTGCCATGGCTCAATGCAAGGGAATCTTGGGAGTAGCTTGATAATGCACCAGGCACTCTTTGGCTAAAGACTTTGCATAACTACAGATTTCACGATTGCATAGCCTTGAGCCGTTGCAGTTACAGTGGTGCCAAACTGCATTAATTTTACAATGTAGATGCACCCTCAAGGTGGTTTATGAAATAAAATAAAATAAAATAAAATAATATCGCTGAGCTACTGAACTTGCTGACCAAAAGGTTGGCAGTTCGAATCCAGGGAGCAGAATGAGCTCCCGCTGTTAGCCCCAGCTTCTGCCAACCTAGCAGTTCGAAAACATGCAAATGTAAGTAGGTACCAAACTCAGGCATTGTTTTACTATGTTAGGCTATTGGTTGATTGTTCAATGGTTGTTTTATATTGTTTTGTGATGTTGTTTTATGAATTTTACTGTGTTATATTTTTAACTATGTTGATCGGGCTTGTCCCTAACCACCTTGAGTCCTTTTGGGGAGATGGTGGCAGGATACAAAAATACAGTTGTTGTTGTTGTTGTTGTTATTGTTGTTATTATTACTGCTTCAGCGGCAGGAAGGTAATGGTGCTCCATGCAGTCATGCTGGCCACATGACCTTGGAAGTGTCTGTGGACAATGCTGGCTCTTCGGCTTAGATGTGCACCACCCCCAGAGTTGGACATAACTAGACTTAATGCCAGGGGAAAACCTTTATCATAATAATAATAATAATAATAATAATAATAATAATAATAATAATACTTTATTTTTACCCTATCCTATCTCCCCAAGGGGATTTGGGACGGTTTCCAACAAAACTAACAAAATGACAAATATTCAATGCCAAAAATAGACAATTATAAATCAAATCAAAATAGTAGATAAAACAATATAAAAATAAACATATAAAATTAAACAAATATAATACATAATCGACCTTAAATAAACATCACACACAATTTCCACAAAATACATGTTGAGTATCCCTTATCCAAAAAAGTATAAGATTTCAGATTTGGAATACCTGTCTTTACATATGTGTACATAGTGAGATATCCTGGAGATGGGGCCCAAGACTAGACATGAAATCCATTTATGCTTTGTATAGACCTTATATACATAGCCTGAAGGTAATTTTATACATATTAAAAAAAACCATTTTGTGCATGAAACAAAGTTTGTGTACACTGAACCATCGGCAAGCAAAGGTGTCACAATCTCTGCTACCCTTGTGGTTGATACTGGAGTATTTTCGAATTTAAAAAACCTTTTGTTGCTAACATTGTTGTTTCTGTTATGTAGTCATGAAGTGTAGCTGGAGGGGATGACAAAATAAGGGCATCACTGCCCCTAAGTAAGAATTCTGTGTTCCATCATTTTTGGCCTTCAGTCCCCAAGTGTCTATTATTGCAGGAAGTGGTGCACTGAAAGTCATTCACATCTAGAACTCTGATTTGCAAGAAGCACTGCTTGACTATCAAGCAAAAAGTGGGCGCTAGAAATAATATTGTACGAAAGCTGATTGGCACAACCTGGGGATCATAAACAGATACAGTGAAGACATCTGCCCTTGCACTTTGCTACTCTGTTGCTAAATATGCATGCCCTGTGTGGAATACATCTCACTACTTTAAAACAGTGGATGTAGCTCTTAATTCTGCAATACCACAGGATGACTACAATCTACACCACTTGGGAAATTATACTGTCTAGCCGATACTTCCACTGGGAAGTAGGAGCCAGTAACAAAAGGACCAAGGCATTGACATCTTTGCCCCACCCCCTGCTCAAATATCAGCCAGCATGCCAATGCCTTAAATCAAGAAACGGCTTCCTAAGATCTACAGAGATACTTGCAGGAACACTTCAGCAAGTGAGAGTCCAAAAGTGGCAGGTTAAAACCCAGAACCTCAATCCATGGCTGATAGCGAATGAGAGACTCCCTCCTGGGCACACAAAAGACTGGGTGACTTGAAAGGTGCCGAAAAGACTGCACTCTGGCACCACGAGATGTAGAGCTAACCTTAAGAAATGGGGCCACAAATTGAGTCTACAACATGCGAGTGTGGAGAAGAGCAAACCACAAACCACTTATTACAATGCAGTCTGAGCCATGCAACATGCACAATGGAGGACCTTCTTAGAATGACACCAGAGGCACTCCAAGTGGCCAGCTTCTGGTCAAATAACATTTAGTATAATGCCAAGGTTTTTTATTATTTTTAATGTTTTTTAAATACATTACAACTGTACCCTCAATTCGCTTCTGACACAATAAATAAAAAAAAATCTAGAACTCTCTTATTTGCAGTAATTTCACTCTTCAGAAACCTTTGCCTATTCATTTTCTTTAGATGCCTAAACTTGGTACTGCAAATTTTGGAACTGAAGAAATATTCCATTTGGAGGGGCAGAATTCTTATTGGGGTGACAATGATCGTATTTTGACCCCACATAGCATCCCATCTGCAAAGTAGGTTGGGTGTTGGTAACACATGGTGATATAATGAATTTCAGATGTATGTTC